TTTTTTTGAGACAGGGTCTGCTATGCAGTTCAGGCTGGCCTTGTGCTCACTTTGTAACCCAGGCTGGTCTTGAACTCTCAATGACCCTCCCGCCTCAGCCTCCCAGGTGCTGGGATTACAGGCATGCGCCACCACACCCAGTTTACTAAGCTTCTCTTAGTACCCCCTATACTAAGTTTCAAAGATATCCACCATCATGCAGTTTCTCCCCATCAAGAGACAGAGGCTATTTCCCCATCCCTTAATGCTAGGCTTATCTTTTGACTTGTGCATATCAATGAGACACTAGCAGAGGATGCAACTAGAGGGCTAAAACATGCTTGGAAACCAGTTACATCCCAGCACTTCACCCTTACCACTGCTCATGGGAAGCCTATCACTTCTATATGAGCCAACCAGGATTTGCTACTACAGATAAAACACTCAGCTCCAAATCATCTGCTACAGACATCATTCCTGACCCTCCAGCCCCAACCCCAGCAGCCAGACCCCCTACACACACACACACACACACACACACACACACACACACACACAATCCCCGGCCAAACAAACCTTTTAAGAAATAATGAATTTTAAATGTTTCAAATTGCCACAACAACAACACAAAGAGAGTCACTGCAAGGGAGAAACAGCAGTGAATTGGCAAATCTACAGCACCAATGGAGAGCAGTGGCTGCCCAGGACTTGTAGTACGGAGGCCCTGGGGGACAGTGAGGCATGACCACTGCCAGGCGTGGGCTTTCTTTCTGGGGTTCTAACACTGGACATGGTGATAGGTGCACCGCTCTGGGCTTATAATAAAAACCATGTCAACGGATGAAAAAAAACCTGCCATAGTTTTGAATGGCTTGTTACACAACAAGCACTAAATACACCATCCTTTTCAAGATGTCAGCAAGCTTGGCTCCTTCTTGAAGCAGAGGGAAAACCTACCTGTCCTAGTCTCTCCTGGCTCCTCATAGTCACTGACAATAGGGAATATTTCTTAGCTTAAGGCAGCATAATCTCTGCCTCTGTCGTCACATGACATCCTGTATGTGTGTGCTTGTCCAAATTCCCTCTTATAAGGACACCAGCCACTGAATTGGAGCCCACTAATTTGGTATGATTTCACCTTTCACTTTAAGTTTATTAATTTCAAATAAGTCATATTCATAGGTATGGAGTGTTAGGACTTGAACAGACATTTTGTTTTTGTTTTGTTTAGTCTTTTTGAGACAGGGTCTCACTCTGCAATTCAGGCTGGCCTTAAATTCACAGCAATCCTCCTGCCTCAGTTTCCCAAGTGCTAGGATTTGAACACACATTTTAGAGAAGATAATAATTCAACCCACAACAAGCGATATTTTTTTAGAAATTCTTACTATGGGGGCTGGAGATTTAGCTCAGCAGCATGTGCCTGCCTGGCAAACGCAAGGTCATGAGTTGGATTCCTGGTACCAGAAGAAAAACTAAAAAAAACAAAAACAAAAAACAAAAAACAGAAATTCTTACTATGAGTGAAACCGAACCTCTTTCCATGCAGTTTAGGCAGTTTTCTCTTTCTGTGGATTGTCTATTTGAAGTTTGCCTATTGTTCTATAGAATTTCTTTTGTAGTATCTTCCCCTCAAGTTACTTTTCCACCCTCGATTTCTAGAGTTCTTATTCTTCAGGTATTGGGCTCTATGGACTGGTTCTCTAACTTTTTAGAGTTTTCCTCCTGATATCCACCAGACTGCCTTTCTTCTCTAGTTTCTGAGAAATTATTAACAAATTTATCTTCCAGGCTTCCTGTTCATCTTTCCATTTTCTGCTTTCATCTTTTTAGGTTCTGAGTTCTGACTCCCTGACTTTCCCTTTTTGTATCATCCAATACTTGTTTCATAGTTGTAGTATCTTTGATTTCTCTGAAGTTTTTCATGAATTTCCCTCTCTGTATAATCTATTTCCTATAAATGATTGGCTGGTTATTTTATTTTATATTAGATGGTTGCCTCCAATCAACAATCTTGTGGCTAATCATTCTTAACTACTTACTCATATATAAGTATATCACTGCAAAGCTGAGAAACTTCTTGAATATATTAGTTTTGTTTGATTCGGTCTCTAACTTTCATCTTTTTTTTTTTTTTTTTTTTGTCTTTTTGAGACAGGGTCTCGCTCTGCAGTTCAGGCTGGCCTTAAGCTCACTTTGTAGCCTAGGCTGGTCTCAAACTTGCGATGATCCTCCTGCCTCAGCCTCCCTAGTGCTGGGATTACAGGCGTGCGCCACCACACCCGGCTTGGTCTCTAACTTTCATACGATTACTTTGATGATAATATTTATTTGTTAGTATGTAAGCATAAGGGACTAAAATGCCCATTAAACACGTGGTGGGACTTGCCAATCATGACATTGACAATAAGGTGATTTGGCTGGGGCATGTAGGGAAGAAATGTCAGTGTCAGTATCTTTAGTTCTTTCCTACCTCTCTACTAATCTCCTGCTATGGATTCTGGGAGCTAATAGAGAATTATGGCTGGGGACGAAACAGTCTCCCAGCCACCACTACACACATGTCTGCTAATCTAATTCCCAGCTTACTAAATGTATCACCAGTGACGTTTGGGAACCTCCAGTTCACAGACCTCTGTTTCACTCCTGATAGAGAAAATTTTTAAGTTATACTAGTAAAGATATAGGATGATGGCTGTCAGTATAAAAAAGAGAAGAGATGGTATATCTAAGGATCTGATCCTTAAACATTATTTCAACCAAACTTCCTTGTTTTAATGTCCCAGTATCTCTCTCTCTCTCTCTCTCTCCCTTTCTCTCTCTCTCTCCCTCCCTCTCTCTTTGTTCAAAGGGCCAGATTCTGAGCTTTTCTTTACTCTGTGATTTAAATTACGTTGTTCTCTGGTGTTCTCCACTGTAAACTTTGATCCAGTTTTCTCTAGTTAGCTAATTCATTTCTAATTCATCCATCTGCTTTCTAGCCAAACCGTTGTGTTCTCCTTTAGAAGAAAGGGAAATCACTACTGAGCATACAGGCAGCCACTGCAAAGACTTGGAGTGCAGTTGATGGATTCAGAGCATGCACACTTTAAGGATTTTCTACTGGCAAACACTCTCTAAAAAGATGCACCAGTTCGTATTTTCATGACCAAAGTATTTCTCTTTCCCTGTGTCCTAAACATCTCTAGATTATCAATGAAAATAACATTCTTGCCAAACTGACTGGACAAATTCACACTGTCGTGTGAGTTTGTTTTTCTTTGACTCCTGATCAGGTTGAGAAATTGGCCCTTTGACCTTCCAGGAACAGGCTGCGGTGCACACAAGATAGGTCTTTCTCTGTTCATCCACACTTACCAGATACAGCTACAGGTCCCTATAATTAAGGCACCCAGGAGGATAGCAAAGGTTTCAAAACCAAGCAAAGTGAGTACAATGACTATGTACGAAGCAGAGATAGAGTACAGTTTTGCAAGAGCCACACAGTATATTAGCAGGTTGGGGTCAAGGACAAAGATCTATGACTGAGGTATTACAGAGACTTAGTAGCTGATGAAGGCAACATAAAGAATTCATAAAAGAAAATCTAATTAAAATCTAATTACCCTGCCCTATTTGGGTGCTAAAAACCTGGATTTCTACATCTAGAAAATCATATAATATGATGGATCCTTACTGTCCATTTGCTCCAAATTCTTGACTGAAGAGATTGGGATCCAGAAAAACGTAATTCTTTCAAGATCACATAGAAAGTTAGCAGCAGATTCCAGACTAGTTATTGAATATTTTCAACTGTGTCCCCTCACTCTGCATTCAAAAATCCTCCATGTATCCAGGCATTGTAAGTGATGAGGGCCTCACTTCTTCGAGAAAAAATAACCCAACAGATACACACTCCCTGAGAGAGAATGTGAGCCATACCTTCCAACCCCCAGATTGGAAAATCACATTTTGCTGTGTTCTGTAGCATAGCCTGGTGAACATTCAGGCAGTCCTAGCTAGGATGAAATTACATTTCTCAACTTCCTTCCTTGTATGGAACGGCATTAGGGATTGCCATCAACTTTTTTTTTTCCATAAGATTTAGGAGACGAAAATGAGGCAGTATCCATTGTGCTCTGAAAGTTGTCACTGGTCAGAGGTAGTAAGGGACAGACAAGGGTGTGGGTTGGTCTTCACATTCCCTGTTCCACGATGCTTCTTCCTAGTGGCCAGTCCAGCTGACCAAAGTGACCCAGAGCCCAGGCGCATCACTAAATACTTCCCTATGAACTCAACAGTAAGACCTTAAAGAGCCAACAGTCTTCCACATACTTCTACACCAATTCCCTCTATGGTCCCACTGCAACCTGCTCACTCTTTTCTACAAGGGCTGATGAGTGACTTCTCTGATTTTTTTAATGGTCCTGGGGATTGAACCCAGGGCCTTTGCACTGAGCTATATCCCCACCCCTGTATTAATTTTTTACTTTGAGAGAGAGTCTCACTAGCTTGTCCAGGTTTGGCTAGAACTTGCAGTCCTCCTACCTCAGCCTTCCAGAATGCTGAGACTACAATCATATGCCACCACACCAGGCTCTCTGATCCTTTTCAAATCTTTGCTTCCCCAGTTTCTCCCACAATTAGATAAATACTTCTTACAATAAACTCCTTATTCAATAATCCTGATAATGGTTCTGCTTCCAGGACTGAGCGTTAACTAATACATATTTGAAAAAATGAGCCTCTTTAACAAATACGGTGGCAGTAGAAGATTCCTGGCGTTTGGGCACTGAGTCCCTTTCCCAGCTCTTCATCTCTTTGTTGTAAAGATTTCAGGGAGAATTACACTGACCTCATTCTTTCACTTCCATCTTCAGCCCCGTTAAATGTGTTTTGTGTTCCTATAGACAATTTTCACTGTTATTTTATCTCATCAACTCCATGTAGGCTTTTCCACCCTTGACCTCTGAGGCAACAGGTCAAGTCAGGAAATAGAAGCCACACACGTGGTTGAAACAGTATATTTAACAGAAGGAACCATCCGTGAAGCAGGCAGGCTGACAGAACAAAGAGCCCCCTGAGGACACAGATTTTAGGAACTGTAGGTGCAGCCGCCACTCATGGCCGAGAACTAAGAGGGAGAGAATGGGTTTTCAAGCCCTGATTCAGAAGAGGGGCTCGGAGGGCCGATTCGGGGCTGTCTAAGAAAGACTGGCACCCAGCAATATAGACCTGTGTGTGTAGCCCCTGAATGGTTCGCTCCAGCTGGCGCTGGAAACATCACCTCCCTGTGCCATTTCCCTCGGTTTTTTGCTCCAGTTACATCTTGTCTCTCATTTTCAACACCAGCACGGGTCTCAGCACCACGCTCCTCTGCCTGGAACCCCTTCCGGCTCATCAACCTCGCCTAGCTTTGATATTTATTCTTCCCTGTACTGTGTGCTCTTCTCTGAGGTTGGTGGCGCCCTCTTGTGGTCCCTTGGCCACGGCGGGTGAGAGCTGCGAGCGAGGACCTGGAGGTCTTGGGCCTTGGGCCCTGGGCCTTGGCTAACTTCCCTGGCTGACCTACAAGATAAGGGGAGGCTGGTCGGCTCAGACGCTGGGCTGCGGGCCAGGGCATGGGGCAGCTCCCGTGGGCGCTGAGGGCACGTGGGCGTGACGCGTGAGCCACAGAGCCCGGGCGCTCCCCACTCCCCACTTGCTTTGTCTTCGCTTCTGCTTGCAGCTTCACTTTTGGCTGCACTCTCCAGCCATGAAGCTCCTGGTGCTGTCGTTGGCCGTGCTGCTGCTCATGTCCCACCTCACCCCAGGTAAAGCCTGAACCTCTTTAGGGAGGGCAGGGGGTCACCCCTGAGGCCTGGTAGGGAATCTCAAGGACGGGGAGGCGAGAGATCAACATGAGGAGCCATGGAGAGCGAGTGACTTGCCAGGAACAGGCTCCAGATCTTAGGGACCAACTACAACATCCCAGCGCTCCTGACTCAGGGCCTCCCTCCTCCCCAGGGAGTTGCGCAAGTGGACTTGTGGGTGAGGAAGAGGCAAGTGGGCAAGAGGTCCACCGGAGAAGGAAATAGCCCTTTGGCAAAAGAGCAAAGCTCACAGCCACCTTAATGGGAGAAGTGTCTCTGTGCCAAAACAAAAGTTGTTTACATATGCCCAATTCCCTTTATCAATTCTGCCTCTCCGACATCCAGTTTTCCATCTGGTATCATTTTTCTTCTTCCTGAATAATTTCTTTTAACATTTCTTATAGTGAAAGCCCTGGGTTTGATCTCCAACATTACAAGAAAAGAAAAGACATAGAAGGTATCCTCTGGAGATCTCCAGTTGCCCCAGCCACCCACCCCCATTTTGTAACCCACAAATTCTAGCCAAGTTGCTGTCTTTCAGCTTCAATTTCTATCTCCTTTGCTCAGTAAGACCATTAGGAGTGCCCCTTCCTTCCACCATGACCCAGAACTACTTCCAAGGAGGGAGGGGCTGCAATCACAGGACTTCCCTAGTTGTTTCCCTTCTCTCAAGGATCAGTTCGCGGTACATGTTGTTTAGGGTTTGAAAAGTGTATTTCATATATTTTCCCCAGTTACATTATTGTTTGAAGAGGGAAAGTAAATATGGTCCCCATCGCTCCATCTCAGCCTGGAAAAGCCCCATTTCTTTCCGTTTTCACATTTTCCTCTTTGTCATCTTCTATTTCCCTTAACCCCTTATCTGTTGAGATTATTTGTTTTTGTATGTCATCTAAGTTAGGCGTTTTTCTGGAAAGATTTCTTTCATTGACCATAGTATTTTATCACTTCATTTCTAAAATTTTGGGGTTTTTTTCATTTGTTTGTTTTGCAGTGTTAGGGATTGAACCCAGGGCCCTGCATATACCAGGCAAACACTCTGCCACTGAGCTAATCTCAACCCCTTATTTTTTCTTTTCTTTGTTTTGTTTTGTTTTTTGTTTTGTTCTGTTTTGAGGCTCAGGCTGACCTCCCACTTTCAACCCTCTTATCTCAGCCTCCTGAGTAGCTAGGATAACAGGTGTGTGCTACCACATCTGGCCATTTCTGAATGTTTTAATGCAGTAGATTTTATCTTACATTTAATATCCACAATAGATATGTGAAATAGATGCTGTCAGCCTACTTTTCAAAAGAGAAAAATGAAGCTCTATGAAAAGAATTCACTTGCTGAGGAGCTGGCAGAGCCAGGTTTCACACCAGGTTTTTGGAGTTTTGACAAGTTTCTGTCCTAAACCGTTATGCGCCACCCTTCATCTAGGAAACACATAGAGGACAAGGATTGGCATTGAGTGTCAGAGAAGTTGTGAGTCTAAGGCCCTCAGCAGAGCCTTTTCTTTTTGTTCTCCTCCTTTTCTCACTGTGTTGCCCTCTGTTGGACTTGTCAAAAGGAAACCACTTCAGTGACTCCAGTAGAGTCTAAATGCTTTGTTCAGCTGGTGTGCTCTAAGGTGACTCTCAGGCAAAGCAAGCTGCAGTTTCTATAGAGAAAGTAGTGTTCCCTGGTTTGCCTCAATAGCTGATTCTGCCTTAGTTGCTGCAAAACTTGCAGTTGCAGTGGTTGGACATTGTTTCCATCTGTCCTGCCTCTTGTCTTGCAGTCTTTTGGCACAATCTAATCCTGATGATTGTCAGAACAGTTCTCTCCAGGGCAGTTTTTAAACATGTCCTGGTTAGTGTAGATGCATGGGCAAGGTAGTTATCAAAAAACACAATAAAGAAAAAATAATGATAGACAGAAAGGGTCAAAGGTGAGAGACATTGGGGGGCCTTTATCACATCTATTTTAATCCCTTTAAATCCAGAGCCTCCCTCTTTTTAAGATTGACACCTCTCTTTTTTCTCCTTTGAATCAGGTGTTGCCCAAAGATGCTGGAATCTTCTTGGCAAATGCCGCCACAGATGCTCCAGGAAGGAAAGTGTCTATGTTTACTGCACCAATGGTAAAATGTGCTGCGTCAAACCCAAGTACCAGCCAAAACCAAAGCCATCGTGGTTATTTTGAGGGCTTTGAAGTCTGAAGCCAGGAAAATGCAGAAGTTGCCCAAACTCTGGCCCGAGTGGATTCTTGAGCTGTGTCAATAAACACCTCTGGCTGATCACTGTGTGCCTGTTGTCTGCCCCAGTGGTTCTCGGGAGGTCCTCTTTCGAGTGGTTGAGAAAATCAAAACTATTTTCCTAACAGTGATAATAAGGCATCTCGTTCTTTCACAAAGCTACAGTAGAATTTTCTGGAATCTATAAGACATATGATGACATAATTGTTCTGTTTATGCCTCTGTGTTTGTAGAATTTCTTAAGGTAGGAGGCTTGAGGTACACATATATTCCTTTTCAGAGATTACCTCAGTTCCTTTTCAGGAATTCTGATGTACTTACTCAAACTATCTTTGGTTATATCAGTAATTCTGTAAACTTGTTATTATCTGGTGAACCATTACTTTGAAATCCCAAAACTTTCCTTCCACAAGAAGTAAGTACAACTTTATTGTCTTCATCTGCAAAAGTACATTAACAACCAGATTCAACAGCCTAATAGGAGAGAGGGGTATGCTAATAACACTTATTCTAGTCTCTGCAGGGAGGGAAAAATAATACTTATTCTAGCCTCTGCAGTTCTGCACCCCTTAGGCCCAACCGAAGCAATTTAATGAGATTCTGTCTCAAAATAAGTAATAATAAAGGGTGAGGATGTAGCTCACTGCAAAGCCTCAGGCTCAGTCTCCAGTACAGAAAGAGAAAGAGGAAGAGAGACAGGGAGGTCGGGAGGGAGGGGAGAGAAAGGAAAGGAGGCATGCAGAAATCATGGGCTGACGCCATTTTCCTCCCAGCTTTCCATTCTCAGACCCTCTCCTTTATGGCCACCCAGATGGGCATCTTCCTGGATCTGGGCATTGTCTTTGCCTAGTCAGGTACCAAGTGAACTCTGTAGGTCCCAGACACTAACCTGAGATGCCATCCTGAGCAGCCTGACCTCTCACGCTCCTCCCTACTGAACCAGACAGGAGCCCCGACACTGTGCAACCCTCGGTTCCCAGCCTGCGACCACCCAATGCGTCTGACTGATGTCTCCTGACTCCTGGCTTTTTCCAAGCCTCCAGACTGTCTCTTCTACCAAAGATGGGTCCTCTGCGTGACCGCCCCCCATCCACTCACTCGGTCCTTTGCTGGGTCCCTATCTGGGCTCCACCTCCAGGGCTCTGGCTCCGCCCCTCGAGCCTGGGTCCACAGTCGTCGGCAGCTGTTGCCGTAGACTTCTCTGCCGTAGACTTCTCTGCCGCGACGCACGGACTGCCCGCTGCCCGTACCCCAGCGCAGGACTCGGAGGAGATAAGGGTGTGGAGCACAGAGGATTCTAGTACTCACCCTCCCCGCGCTCCCTCCGTAGCCCTGCTCTTGTTCCTCACAGCGGGGTTTAACCCTACCTTTGGCCTGACCTGGGTGTCCCTTTTTGGCTCTCCCCCGAATGGGGGACTCCGGGATGGACTTCAGAGTCTTAATGAAGGCCTTGGCCAAGGCATTTGGTTCCGCGGCAAACTCCTGGTGGCTGTGTCCATGGAAGGGTTCGAAGGGGGAGCTGAATCTGAACCACCCCAGGCTCCAACCGGGTCCAAGTTGTCCCGGCTCAAAGGAAAAAAGAAGCCAGGCAGAGCCAGGCCCCAGCTGGAGTTCCCTAGCAGCACGGAGACCTGAGGTTCCCTAGCAGCGCCGAGACGCCAGCTCCAGGGGGAATGGGCCCGAAATTCCTAGTGCTGCAGTGGAGTTGTTGACCTTCAGTAGGGGCTGGGGTCTGACTTCTGCTGCGGTAGAGACAGTTAAAAGAGTAGTCTCACTCTCAGCCTGGGGCCTACTGACTTGCTGCTCTGGGAATAGGTTATACAGGCTCCTGGGAGAAGCAGCTGAGCAGAGGGCCCAGGGATGGGAAGAGAACCCAGGTCACTGAAGTGGAGGTGCAGCCTCTGCTGAAGTCAGAAGACATGGGGGCCAGGCTGGACACTGGGTGAACGGTCCTGTTGTTGGAAAGAGGGCGTTTGGAAGTCCCCAGAGGTTCTCAAAGCATCTGGTCCCCTGGCCCAGACCTTATTATGTCTGCTTGCCCCTGTGTCACTGCAACCTCTGCATGTGCTTGTGGAACCACAGTTACATGTGGCACCTGCAGAGCGGTGACTGTATACAGAGTGGCCCAGAAGCTGTGAGGGCAAAGCTGATGCCCACCAAGAGAGGCAGGACCATGGGATGCCAGGATGACTTTCACCTTGGAAGGGAGCTCAGGAATGGGACAGAGCACTAGGGAGCAAGCACCTTGTTGAGGCAGGGGCAGAGGATGGTGGACAAAGAGCACAGCTTCTGGGAATACTGTGGGGCTGAATTTGAGGAAGGGCAGAAATTTAGAATTGTTGGATCCAGGAAAAGGCTGGGATGGAGCTGAGTAGACCTCCTGAGAGCTGGGCCCCACAGGGCGGCACCTCAGGGAGACTAGGAAAATGGAACCATGAGTCCAGTGGAGCTAAGGAAGGGCATAAGGGATAAGGGATAAGGAAAGGGGAGAGGGGTTCCCATCAGAGTCTGAGAGTGAGGTTGAGGCCAACCAGACTTGGACCCTCCCCTGGGTGCTCAAGACCAGGGCCTGCAGGAGGTTGGAAGAGCTGGTGGCTGAGAGCAGGTAAGCTGAGATGAGACCCCCCCAGTGGCTTGTCAGCTTGCCACCTGCAGGGTGAGGGAGACTCCTGGGGGCTGTTTGAACTCAAGGGTGGCTGAAGCTCGAGACTCACAGAAGAGTAAGAAGGAGATGATGTCCCCATCAATGGGTTTGATGAAATTATTAGGGTAGGCTGCTCCCAGATCCTTAGGTGCCTTTATAGACTTCTGCCTCCCGTAAACTCCCTTCTCCTTGTCTTCTCGGAGGAAACAGAAGCCTCATTTCCTCTAAGTCTGCTACCTGGCCCACTTCTGCATCTATCTGCTTGTGGAGGACCACCTGGGTGACTCTCCTTGAAGGAGAAGCAATTGTCTCCATTTTGGCTAAACCTGGCCCTATGTCCATGTATTGATGTATTGATGTTACAGAGCTGGCTAGGATTTTCCTTATCCCTTCAATTGGCTTTAAGCAATGCAAATCAGTCCAGCTGAGGTGCTGATATGTCTCTGAAGCAAAGAGGAATGGGCAATGTTTCCCCACCCCCCATAGCTCCCAAATAAAACCTGTGTGAGCTAGGCAGTATGGAGAGCAGTGCTCCATGCTGGGATGGAGCCTCAAGATAAGAGGCTATGACTTCCCTGTGCATGAAAGATTACACACCAGGGCTGAGGCACCAACCCAAAAACATTAGATACTACATCAGTTATGTCATGCAGATTACTCTTTCTGCATATTGCAGAGGTGATTTCAGGCCTCCTACCTAGCCCAGCTCACAGCACTCACGTATGTCCCACCATTCCCATAGTCACTTGCCCCCAAGCCACTCCTTTCTTCATGAATTAATAAAACCCGAGTCTGGCCTTGGGTCAAGGCCTCTGTTCTGAATAGCCATTACCTTGGCTAGACTTAGGACCCGTTGGCTCTCCAAAACTGCAAATATGCCTCAGTGTCTTTATTCTAGCAATGGGCTGCACTGTAAGTGGTAGACTAGAATTAACTCACTAGAATTCCAATAACTTCTGCATGGGATTACAAATGTAAACTTCCCGGACTGCGATGAGGACCAGGAAGGGCTCTCTGTATGTGCACTCATCCGCTTGCTAGGGAGGGAGTGCCTGCCTCAGTAGCACAGCTGTGATTTTGGTTTCCCCTCCTCTCTCCGCCTGGAGGAATTAGCTCTGCCATTGCCCACTTTCTGCCTTGCATCCCCAGCTGGCCTTTACTTCCTAGTGGTTATGAAGTTATTGCTGTGACCACATGAACATGTTCTCACTTCTGTCTGTGACCTTCCCTCTTCTGCACTCCATGACCTGCTCCAAGCACTTTCAGTCCCTTTCTGATACTCTTCTCAAAGTTATTTGTCTACTTATTCAACAGATATTTATGACACTTGTTATGATAGACACTGTTTTAGGCACAGGGACAGCAGTGAAAAAACACTCCTGCCACAAAAATCCCTGAAGCTTACATTCTTGCGGGAGATATGGGAAGAGACACAGGTAATAAACATGTAAATAAGGAGATAGAAATATACCAAGAAGCCAAGGATATAGCTCAATGACACAAGCGCCTGCCTGGCAAGCACAAGGTCCTCAGTTTGATTCCCCATACCAAAAAGAAAAAAAAAAGAAATATACCCAGGAGGATAAGTGTTCATGGAGGAAATAAAGCACAGATGCATTAGAGAGAGGTGTGACAATTTTATAAAGGGTAAAGAAGGGGAGGCCACTGTGAAGGTCATGTGACAGTAAGAATAAGCTGTGTCTGTGAGGGTATTCTGTCCAGAGGTGTTGGCATATGCAAAGGCCCTGAGGTAACAGCTGGCTGGGTGAGTTTGAGGAAGAGCAAGGAAACCAATGTGACTGCAGCAGTGTGAGCAGAGGACATGTGACTGGAGGGGGACAAGGGGAAGGACAGTCATGGGAGAGGCAGATAGTGGGGGCTCCTTGTAGGCATTGTAGTGACCTTGGCTGCTTCTCTGGGTGACCCAGGGATCCACTGAAGGTTTGGAAAGAAGAGATATGCTCTAGTTAACGCTTATCCTTTGAGGATGAGTGGGGGTGTAGTGGTGTTAGGGACCAAGCGAGCGGGGTCACTAAAGTCAGCCAGGTGAGGGATGGTGATGAGTCTAACCTAGGGTGGTCGCAGTGGACATGGTGTGTCAAGAATGGATTCATGAGAAATTGCAACAGCTCAGAACTTGCTGGTGCTGTCAACTGAGCCAGGGGAAAAAAAAGACGTCTGAAGTGGGGGGTGGGGGTTATTGGAAACTCAGTTCCGACTTGTTAATTTCAAAATGTCTGCTAGCCTTAGAGGTGGACACATCTGGCAGTCAGCCAGGGGGTTGAGCTCTGGGGATGGTTTTAGGCTGGGAATACCAATTTGGGAGCTGATGTTATGTAGACGAGACTGGATAAGATCACCCTGGGAGCAGAGAAAGAGATCTAGGACCTGGAGAGCTCGG